CTTTGATAGATGAGAATGATTTTGTAGACAAGAAAGGGAGGAACTGGGTAGTCTACGACTTAGGGAACAGCATTAGCCAAATACGGAGAGAAGTGGGGTAACACCTCTAGGTGGGGTCAAGCCAAAGCAGGGAGGACCAGGACCGGCAGAATGAGAGTTTACATATAATGTAACACTTTGAACTGAGAAATAGTGGGATCAAAAAGGAACGGGAGAAAGAACTCTGTCTGTTGGTGTCTTGGTGAGGGTATGGGGTTGAGAAGCCTTTTGGAGGCTGATGGGTCATTAGAACTTTGAGACGGCTTATAGGTGAAAGAAAAGGAGAAGAAGAGAGGGGCATTTTTACTTTGAGGTCAAGAGCAAGGACTCTGGAGTCAGCAAACCTGGGCTATGGACCCTGTCATTACCACTAACTATCAGTTGAACTTGAGAACCTGATGTATCCTTTCTGTTCCCCAGCAGTGAAATGTGGGTGACACCAACCTCCTCATTACTGGGAGGAGTCATGATAATGTATGTGCTGGGGCACAGGAAATACAAAAAGGTCTTGGTATGGGGCTTGGGGGCGGGGGGGCGGTTCTCAATAGAATTAAGAAATTGACAGCAGAGAGAAATATGTGAAGAGGGCCCACCAGCAATGTGACCTTACACAGACTGGACAGCAAGTGCCTTCGTTTCCCCATCTGTAAGACAGAGCTGGGGACAAGGTGATCCAAGGTCATTCATTCCCTACTAGAGCACTCAGAGTAACAAGAGTTCTGTGATCACAAGCAGGCTTTTCTTAACTAGGAAAAAGATTAGGCTGCTTCAAAAGGAATTTTAACACATTCAGTAGATTCTTTTTTTTTTTTTTTTGTCACTTTCCTAGGGTTCTTTTTTTTCTTTTTTGAAGGTATAAGAGGGTAAAGGAGAGAACGGTAACTTAAAAAGCAATTTTTTTTTTTTTAACCATCTCCCACACTAAGCATTGGAAGCCTTGGGAGTCCCAGCCCTAATTTATCTCACTAAATATCCCTTTCTGAAATTAGTCAAAATGACATAAATTCAGCGGGGCAGCCAAATTTTAACTACAGTGCACAGGCACAGAAAACATTTTATTCTTTCATCTTATAGCATCTATTATCTAGATGTTTTTCTTAGAGTCGCTCAATGAGTTAATAAATATAACAATAGAGAGAGATAATAACATAGCCTTTATTTAAGAAACATTGTGCTTGCTTCTACCACTACAGTGCCCACTTTTCAGCCCCAAGGCTCCTTGCGTGGCACAAAAATGCACATTGTTATTGAAAATTTCTGTGGATACATATTGGAAAGTTCTTGCCCTCTGCATGAAAGTTTGTGCACAAAATATGCCACTTTTCATCTTATGAGCTCTAGTTAAATTCTGTTGGTATAATGCACTTAGCTAAAATTGCCAACCCTTACCCTTTCCATTCTGAAATTGATTGTTGCTCCATAGATTAAATTAACACAGAACCAGCTTATTAGATTCCAACACCTCTTTGAATTTCTAGTATACATATATATAGGAAACTTTAGCTCTTTGGTATTTCTTGATGATGCAGTTTATGTTGTCAAGCTGCTTTCATTTTTTCTTCTACTTTGCCTCTCATTTCAGCTAAGTATATTTAAAAAGCATTTTAACAAAAGAATTGACATAATTTCTGAGGTTTTTGCAACAATGGGGACTCCTAGATCCAAAAATATTCCAATAAATTGTCACCTCCTGCATAACCTTATTTGTTTATACATCCAAAAGCATATGTTGGTGTGGTTACATGCCATTCTGTTCTTTCTGTGGTTATGCTACCTCAACATTAATACTTAACAAATTCCAGAGTTAATCAGTACCTTTCTCTTCTCTCCCACGCAACATACAGACTTTAGAATGCTTTCATCCTGATAACTTCCACCCAGTTAAATGCTGTATTGTCCAGTGCTTTAGTTCTATACCTTCCCACCATAAATTAGATATTATCATCATTTATATTCTACACCCAGTGCTTTTTTAGATTTACCGTGTATTTGCTAATATCTTTGTTAGTGATTCTTGTATCCCAGATCATCCATTTGGGATCATGTAATTTCTCCCTGCTATATATATATATATATATATTTTTTAAAATTTCTTTCAGGGAAGTCTGCTAGAGATAAATTTTCAGTTTGGGTAGTCTGAAAATGTCTATAATTTGCTCTCATTTTTGGAAGATATTTTCTCTGAATATAGAATTTTACACTGACAGATAATTCCTCTTGGCACATTGAATACATCGGCTTGTGGCATCCATTTTTGCTGTTGAGGAATAGACCTTCTGTCTTAAATGACTGTTTCTTTGTAGGTGATTTGTCTTATTTTCTAGCAGCTTTTGAAGGTTTTTTTATTTCCCTCCCTTTGGTGTTCTCTGTGAGGTGTCTCTGAGTGGTGTTTGTTTTTATTTATCCTGCTTGGGATTCATTGACATTCCTGGATCTGAGAATCTGTATCTTTCAACATTTCTAAGAAATTCCCAGCCAGCATCTGTTCGAGTATTGCTTCTTGCCCATTATCTCTTTTACTTCCATCTAGAATTCAGATCATCTTCTCCAAGGTTTTCGACTTTGCTTCCGTTTTTAATTCCTTTGTCTTTCGAGGCTGCGTGTGGTCGATTTCTCTGGATCTATTCATTAGCGTGTCTAATCTGTAGCTTAATTTTTCTATTGTATTTTTCTTTAAATTATTACTTTTTTATTTCTTGAAGTTGCTTTTGATTCTTTTTCAAAAGTATTGGTCATACCACCTCACACCAGTCAGAATGACTAAAATTAACAAGTCAGAAAACGACAGATGTTGGCAAGGATGCAGAGAAAGGGGAACCCTCCTACACTGTTGGTGGGAATGTGAACTGGTGCAGCCACTCTGGAAAACAGTTATGGAGGTTCCTCAAAAAGTTGAAAATAGAGCTACCCTATGACCCAGGAATTGCACTACTGGGTATTTACCCCAAAGATACAAAAGTAGTGATCTGAAGGGGCATGGGCACCCCAATGTTTATAGCAGCAATGTCCACAATAGCCAAACTATGGAAAGAGCCTACATGTCCATCAACAGATAAATGGATAAAGAAGATGTGGTATATATATACAATGGAATATTATGCAGCCATCAAAAAATGAGATCTTGCCGTTTGCAATGGCATGGATAGAACTAGAGGGTATTATGCTAAGCGAAATAAGTGAATCAGAGAAAGACAATTATATGATCTCACTGATATGAGGAATTTGACAAACAAGACAGAGGATCATAAGGGAAGGGAGGGAAAAACGAAACCAGATGAAACCAGAGAGGGCGACAAACCATAAGAGACTCTTAATCTCAGGAAACAAACTGAGGGTTGCTGGAGTGGAGGGGGGTGGGAGGGATGGGGTGGCTGGGTGATGGACATTGGGGAGGGTATGTGCTATGGTGAGTGCTGTGAATTGTGTAAGACTGATGAATCACAGATCTGTACGCCTGAAACAAATAATACATTATATGTTAATAATAATTTTAAAAAGTATTGGTCATTCCCCATAGCCTATTATTCCTTACTGATACATTCAATAATCTCATTTGTGTTTTTAACATATTAAATATAACTATTTTATATTCTCTGAATATTTCAATATCTTTGAGGATCTTATTCTGCTACCTGTTATTTCTTTTGGTTCTCATTCATACTGCTGGATTTCCTTATGTAAGACGTGATTTTATTTTTTTTCTATGAAATGTTTATTTTCCCATGGAAACTATCTGAGCTCCAGAGTGAGGGCTCATTCCTCCACAGAGGATTTGCATTTGCTTATGCTGATTATCTGAAGCCATTACCCAGCCAGAACCATTTTAAATCAAAGACTCTGGTGTTTTTCAAGCCACACTGATAGTGTGAATGTGGATCAAAGTCTTTGTGAGGGCCCCCTGGTTTATAAATAATCAGAGGGGAGTTTTTTTCCCCATCCACTCAGAACCAAGGTAGAAGCAGGCAGACTTCCTTGCTCTCTTCTTCTGTACATCAGACTTTTGCTCCCTTTTTTCTTCCTTACACTTGAGAATGGAGCCCTTTGAAGTATCCCAGCTTACATGGGGTTCCTGCATTAAACTTGTCCGCACTGCATAAAGCCAGTAAAGCAGATGCCCACGTCTGCCAGGGTTTAGGAGAAACCCTCAAGTCCAAAGCCTGCTTTGGTCCTTCCTTGTCTCCTGAGGTTCCAGCTTCTACTTTGTTTGGGAAACTGAATACTGGCTCTTTTCACGCCCGCTCAGCAATGCATTTCAAAAGGCTTTCAAATGTATTTGCCCAGTAATTTGTTTCCAGATAAAGATGGAAGTCTTTATATAATTAAACTGAGACCTAAATGAGTATGTATGTGATTATATACATGTTTATCATTGTATGTATTTGTGGCATTTCATTTATATATACTTAGTATACTTATTTCCAGGTGCATCTGCTAATACCTTGAAATCTGATATACACTTTAATTTTTTTCGATTATTCTATAGGAATGATTGGCATGCCTTTTGTCACTTGTCTTCTTTAAGAAATATTTAATATGCAGTTATTATAGATTAAATAAATGTAGTCAGTTGTTACCTGGTTTTAAAATTCTCATTACACTAGGTAGAACTGCAGAATTTTTCAAAACTGCTCAAAGTATCAGGGTCACAGAAACAGTGATATTCAGGCCCAGTTGATATAACTGGGAAAAGCTGGCTTGCACTGCATTTTAGAAAATCAAACCATTTTAAAGTTTGTAATAAATCACAATTTCAATAAAACCTTTAAAAATGGGAATCCCTTCATCCAATGAAGACTCTCTTGGTAAAGAAAATGATTTGCCTTTTTTCAAAAATCAGATTTCATATGAGAGGTTTTCTTCAAGTACTGCACACATCGTTCCAATCAGTAAAGATAAGGCCCCCACCCCCACCCCTAGCAGCCCTGCCCTGTCTTCCTAACTGGTGACCCTTCTTCTTCCAGTATGTGCGAGTATCCTTTGATACAAAACCTGATCTCCTTCTGCACCTGATGACCAAGGAATGGCAGCTGGAGCTTCCCAAGCTTCTCATCTCCGTGCATGGGGGCCTACAGAATTTTGAACTCCAACCAAAACTCAAGCAAGTCTTTGGGAAGGGTCTCATCAAAGCGGCCATGACAACTGGAGCGTGGATATTCACGGGAGGGGTTAACACAGGTAACTGGAAGTGGGACAGAGAAAGGCAACCTAAGGCCACGAGAATGTTGTAACTAAGACCATTTTCTCCTAAAGCGAAATATATTTGTATTCCCCCACCTCGTCTCTCATCCCCGTGTGTCCATATTCACTGGTTCTCCATCCTCTGATACTTCTGCCCTCCGTGACCAGCATGATAACCATACAGGTAGTTCTCAACCAGGAAGAATTAAGCACACCTGAGAAACAGGTTGGGCTATTTAATACTTGACTCTACAGAATTTGTAAACATGACTGATGGAATTTCACAGGATATTTTCAATACCTCAGGTTGCCAGATAAGCATCCAGTAATTTTTTAAAGAATAACCTTTGCTCTAAATTGGAAGCTCTGTGTCTGATCTTTAAGTGATTTTAAGTTTGAGGCAAATAGCTTTGATTTTTGTAAAATGCCCATTACATCTGGGACATAAATTGTGACAGCAAAGTCTGGAGTATTGTGTGTTTATTATTTAAAATATTTTATTAAATCAATGCTGCACCATTAGAAGACACATCACACTCTGATTTCCAAACAATTTTTTCTCCTGCCAAATGAGTTTCTCTATATTGTGATACAGGTAAGCTGTCAAATCAATTCTCACAAACCCACTTACAGTAAAGTGCTTACATGCAGCAGATTATTAATGGGCAACAGATAATGGAATGGATGCCTCTAAATTGCTTTGACGTATTTCCCCAGCCTGAGTCAGAAGTGCCGATTGGAAATGCACCAGGAACACTGCAGTAAGTTCATTTAAACTTGGTTCAAGGCTCTGAGTCTGTGCAGCCCGCACACATTTGGAGCTGGGGAACAGTCTGGGCATAAACCTGGCCAACTAATTTTAAATAAGGTGTTATCTCAAGATTGTTTATTCATTTGTGTGCAGTTTGGGTAATATTTGAGCAAGACCTGCACTCAGAATTCTCCCCAATACCTAGAATTTGTGAACATCCAGCATGCGACTCCATAGGTGCATTTCAGCAGTGAACGCTGCAGATTGCACATGCTCATCATTGTTCAGTGGATTCGTGACTCAGTCTGTAAACTGACATGATCTTAGAATGACCTGCTCAGTCAGCTCTTTACTGTTTATCTGGCAATAATCAAATATCTACAGAGCAATTATCTTTCAGTGGCTGTTCAGGCTTTAGGCTCCAGCTTTCATTCAGTGTAGCGACCTCATTCACGCATGAGTATTTGTGGTCTTGTGTTTTCCTGGCATCCCCTGCACCTCATCTACAGACCCACTCAAAGGTTTCTAAATGTTCAAAAGAAACTCTTAACAATCTTCTGTTTCTGGGAACTCGGAACGTTCTTTACTACCTTTCTTCTTTTATGAAATGCACCCAGTATCAAAGGAAGAAGTAACAGCATGAATACTGTAAACCAAAGAGTTCATCTCTGCCTCGCCCCAGGCTAGCATTCAATCCAATACCCAAAGTGAGGTTCTAATGGTGGCATCTCAGATTAGGTAAGAGGTAAAGGTAGGATTGTGGCTGATGGAGGGCATACCATGAAGTTAAACTTGTCCCTAATGGGCCCTGAAAGGAGTTTTGCATATAAATGAGGGGGAATGAACACTGATATTCCCAGCTTAACTCTTGTATTTACTTTTTTTTTTTTTTTACCATTACTTTATCTTAGAAGAGCCCTAGAAAAGTTCCCAAGTGAAATTGATATTCTAATCAACACCGCCAGCATGGCTCAGTATGGATTAGTGCTATTTACACTCTTTTATTTGATTTTTTTTAAAGGAGGGTCTTTCTGTTTGATCTTACGAATATTTCAGAATGGCATGATTCACACATGTGTCTCCTCTCCCATGATTAAATTGCCTGGTGCATTTTGTGTGCTTAGTTCCGTGCAGTGTTGGGCCCTTACTCTGTGCTAGCACCTCAGGCACGCAAAGGTGAAGTAAGACACTGACCCCCCCGAACCTGCCCCACAAGGAGTTTTACCCTCACGTGTGATTGTGACTCACGGAAGAATATGTTACATAACATACTGAGCGATTCAAGATACGCAAACTGCAATCCCGCTCAAAGGGAGAAAAAAATCAAATCCAGCTCAGCTTTCCTATAGGAGATGGCAGTAGGTGTGAATTTTTCCTTGAGAAATGGGTGGAATTGTGATAAGTGGACACAGCTTTTCTTAGAGAAAATATTTTGCGTCTATAAAAATGATTACTTCAGAGGGAGGTTAATGGATTAGAAGTTGCATCTTCTTTAAATGCAACTTGTCTTTATTAAAATATAAGAGATAGGTTCCCTACCATCTTATAAATGAGTTTTTTCACTTTTAACTGGTGAGGAAGGCCACGGTGATGGGGAAGGTCATTATGACAGAAGAGGAAAACAAATTAGAATAATGAAGCTAAAAAGCTGTATTTATATATTTTCAACATAAATTTTCCATAGAATATGCCAAGGCTTTCTTTACAAGTAGGGTCTCCACATCATGTGTCAATAAATAGGAAGATGAAATCAAGTTTAACAAAATCTGATCTAAGTAACTACTCTATTTGAATGACCCTAACTCATACACAAACTCTGGTGTAGATTTCGTATAATATTCTATACGGTGCTTTTTGTAGGATATACTCATGGTATTGGTTCTTAGCCATACTAAAATCATTGTGCTTATAGTACAAGAAGAAGATTCCCTAAGTTTAAAGAATTGTATTTATTTTGTTTTGTTTTTTAAAACATTGGATGCTTTTTAATTTTTTTTTCCTTAGGAAAAAAAGAACTTAAAGTCGAATGCGAAATGCATTGCTAGAGGGGCACCTGGGTGGCTCAGTTGTTGGGCGTCTGCCTTCGGCTCAGGTCATGATCCCAGGGTCCTGGGATCGAGCCCCGCATCGGGCTCCCTGCTCAGTGGGAAGCCTGCTTCTCCCTCTCCCACTCCCCCTGCTTGTGCTCCTGCTCTCACTATCTCTCTCTCTCTGTCAAATGAATAAATAAAATCTTAAAAAAAAAAAAGAGAGAAGTGCATTGCTAGAGTTCATATACAAGTCCCACAAATGTATCTGACATTAGAGCCACAGATTTATGTTCTCTTCTGAACATTTGTGTAGAAATGTGTCAAAATTTTATATTCAATGCATTTAAGCTTGCGAGACACATTTATCACAATTTCCTTTAGAACAATGGAGAGTAATTGCTTTAAAAGAAAGGGTAATACTTCTTTTTCTCTTAGGTGTTATTCGCCATGTTGGAGATGCCTTAAAGGACCATGCATCCAAGTCTCGAGGGAAGATATGTACCATAGGCATCGCCCCCTGGGGAATTGTGGAAAACCAAGAGGACCTGATTGGAAGAGATGTAAGTCCTAGAAACTGCCCCTGTCTGTGACTTCTCCTAAAGGTGCTATCAAAAGAGTAAAATAAAATTAGAATTCAAAATATACATATTATAGTACTCTTTTGGTCCCCACCTCCCAAAATGAAATTCATGTGAGGAATAGTTTATTCGAAGACCATGTATTTTCCAAAATCTACCTATATAAACTCCATCAATTCTTATGACCAGAAAAAATCCTAAGTAAGACTTACTAACTACCCTCTTGGTTTGAATCAAGCAGTGGCCTTCCCTCACCCATCAAATCTTACAAGTGCTGTTGGCACGGTTCGGTTGAGATTAATTAACACCAGGTAACAAATTCAACAAGGTGCCGACCTCTCTTTCCTTCTCTCAGGTCCAGAGCCACACACTGACTGGATCAGTCAATTTTTGCCAGAGAGAACTTATTTTATTTTTTCTGAGTCATCAGCTTCCTTCTGTTTCTTCTAGAGTCTTGTTTTTGTTTTGTTTTGTTTTGTTTTGTTTACCACAAACAGGTTATCCCCAGCCTCCTTTAGAGGGTTTTCTCTCCTACTAACCACCAGACTTTTTCCCCTATATAACACTTCTCAAAATTCCAATTGATAGGAATTGTAGTTAAACTATATATAATTGCCATACTTTATTCACTGCTTTTTTCCCCTGGTAATTTTAATAATTAATTATTGATCATTGCACCTCTACGTAAGGTCAATATACTCTTCCCTTCCCAACCAAGGCCTGCCGTAGGGTATAACAAATGTGCTCAGTAGTTTTTCCAAGTTCCATGAGGTCGCTCTGAGCCAAAAACTCAAAGAGCTTGAGAATTAACTGGTCTTAAATTGCTTCTTCTATTGTGCAGCAATACAGTGAAACCATCTTATTTCAATACAACACAGCCTCTGCAATTTTTAATACAATGCAAAAATACTTTGAATAAAAAAAATCAAACATCATGAAATGCAAGAAAACACTCTTTAAATCCTTCAGGACCTTTAAGTGGATAAGAAGTGTCCTTATCAGTACTACACAATGACCTGTAGAAACACTAATTTATCTAGAAAACATGGAGTAAGAAATTAAGAGAAATCAAGAAAAGAGATATTAATTTTATCAGTGTAATAGTCTCTTAACTAAAATTTACTGGCTGTTTTGTATCACTGATTTACATCATTGATTATCTCAAGCAGCAATTTCTAAAGTGATACATAGGCAGAACCGACTGGAAAAACAAGCATTGCTAATTTTTTTAGAGTATCTGGAGCTAGTCTTTGATGAAATATACTTGGGTTAATGCTTGCCTCAGATTCCAAGCTGGCTTTGAAGTTGATGGTGAACTACAAGTGCATTTTATTAATAAACGACTCAATTATTTAAAAATGTGATGATTCAGAAGTCATTTTAAAATGTTCATTGCTTCAGGATCTCTATTGTAAACCTAAGTTACATTTATTCGGGTTTTTTTTTAAGGATTTTATTTATTTATTTGAGAGAGCGAGAATGAGATCAAGAGAGCACGAGAGGGGGGAAGGTCAGAGGGAGAAGCAGACTCCCCGCTGAGCGGGGAGCCCGATGTGGGACTCGATCCCAGGACTCCAGGATCATGACCTGAGCTGAAGGCAGTCACTTAACCAACTGAGCCACCCAGGTGCCCTATTCAGTTTTTTTTGGTAGGGGGAAAAGCCATTTTGGAACTTTCTTATTCAGATGAACTATGAATAAATGGAAGCTGATGATTTCTTTATTCAAGATAGAGTAACCAAATGATTACCTCAATTGCCTAAACATTTGCAGAGAAGGCTGACCTACTGCCTTTTTGTGTCATTTTGTGTGCCTTGTAAATTCTATGTGAGTGCAGAAAGACAGTACCTTATGTTACGTTTACTTGCCTTGCTGAGCTGGAAGGATAACCCCTGATTCATCTTCCTCCAGTCTGAGCTCCTTTCCTCTGATTTCACCTCCTCTTGCACTTCTCCATTTTACTCTTATTTTCTTTCTACCCATATTTGTTGCCAGTTTTACATCAATAGGAACTTACATAGGCCTATGCCAGTGGGGCTTAGTCGCATTGTCTGACTTCCCAATAAAAAAACTAGTCTCGATCCCCACGCAGAGGGCAAAAGGAGGCACTCGTGTTCAGTAAAATGTGCACATTCATTCTCCCTGCTCAAAAGGGGGCTAATAGAGGCAAACCGTGGCTCACACAGATCCAAGTGAACCTGCAGAGAGACCATCGAGAAAAGGATTGACATTGACAGATTGTAAAGAGCACAGGAAAAACGGTTGTATTTTACTTTCTTAATAAATCTTTGACCGAAATCTATTGAATTTCATTTTTTTAAAGATTTTATTTATTTATTTGAGAGAGAGAGAATGAGAGAGATAGAGAGCACGAGAGGGAAGAGGGCCAGAGGGAGAAGCAGGCTCCCCGCCGAGCGGGGAGCCCGATGCGGGACTCGATCCCGGGACTCCAGGATCGTGACCTGAGCCGAAGGCAGTCGCCCAACCAACTGAGCCACCCAGGCGCCCAATCTATTGAATTTCAACCACTCTAGTACAACCCACTCCTCATCCTCGCCCCATCAAATTGGGGAGTTTGGAACATGCATAGGGTTTCTCAGGCTCTTGTATAGCAACAGAATTTGTTTTTCACGTTGTAAATTACTTGGACCAAAGTGCTGTTTCTGGTGTAACAGGATATATGACATAGTTTGAGGGAAATCGGTATATGTGTTTACTATTCTAATGTTACAATTAAAAAGGAATATGGTGCTAAATTGTCACAAAAAGAAGTATTTGAACACAATATTAGTGGTCACATTTGAAAGTTCCCCTAAAAATCATTGAAGTAGAAGTGTTATCTGATAAACTTCTTAAGTAGTTATAAGAACTTTCATAGCCTAATTTAGCACCTTCTGTCCTTTTCCTTCCATTTTATATAACCAAACTTCCATTTTATATAACCAAACTTCCATTTCATATAATCAAACTTACATGTAATAAACATCAAGAAAATAAACCTTAAAGCATCAGACATGAGGTATCCGAGGAGAAAAACTGACGTACTATTAAAAATTTTTACCACTTCAGAGTTCTATCAAGATGCATTCATTTAAAAAAAAAAAAAAAAGAATTGTATTTTTGGTCTGGTCTATGTCTGTATTCCAGAATAAGGTTGAAGTGGCACAAACTAAATGTCAAGGGAAATCTAAGAAACCTCCTTGAAATAAAAATATAAGGATAAAAGAAAGGCTTCATTTCTTAAGCCTAATATTTTATTACAGTAGATTTTTTTCGAAACTGATAGAATATAAAGATCCTCTTATTTCTGTGGGAATGACTCTCAGATGAGCACTTTTAGAAGCTGAACATTCAAGTAGTTCTATAGTTATTTTATTGGTAGAAGTGGTAGACGCAGCAGTTACTATTCATCCTATCATTGATTGTCTCTTCGGAATGGCACTATAAAGGCAAAGACTAGTCCTACACATAAAAAAGAAAAATTAACTTTCCCTTGGGTCTGCTTCTAGATATCCTGAAGCACCTACCTCCCTTCAGCTCTTATCTCTTAGCTAGACTTTAGGTGAGACTTTAAAGATATAGGGCATGTATCTTTGGCTTCTCAGAGTTCACCTTAGAGCCTCACATGTAGCAGGTACTCAGGAAATATCGAGGAAGACAGATTGGGCATGATGAGATTCAGGCTACGAGGAAAATTAATGTTACAGGGAAAAAAATGCAATGATACATCTTACCTAGTTCACAACTTTACCACAATTTCATCTCCACACATGCCCCCAAACTTGATCATACTTTAGTAACTATAATTAAGGCATTTTTTAATCAACCATCTAAATACAAAACTATTTTCTTATGTAGCAACTCAAGGTGGGAGGTGGATGGTGAAGCTTCTACATGTTGGATATGGGCACAAAGAAGAACGAAATGAGAACAGGCTTTTCTGTAACCCCTTTGAGAGACGCTTGATCCACCCAACTGGGTAATGAACTAGCCTTGGTTCTTTAAATTTAAATATCTTCTGGGCACCTGGGTGGCTCAGTCGGTTAAGCGACTGCCTTTGGCTCAGGTCATGATCCTGGAGTCCCGGGATCGAGTCCCGCATCGGGCTCCCTGCTCGGCGGGGAGTCTGCTTCTCCCTCTGACCCTCTTCCCTCTCGTGCTCTCTATCTCTCATTCTCTCTCTCTCAAATAAAAAAAAAAAAAATCTTAAAAATAAAATAAAATAAATTTAAATATCTTCTACTTTATTCAATCAAACCTCCAATTAATAGATCAAAACAGCCAAATTTGGTGAGAAATAATGTTATGAATACTGAGATGGTAATAATTTTTGCTCTGCCATTAAACGTGAAAATGAATATTGTTCAACTGTCAAGTTTTACTACTCCTCTGTAATTTCTCCATATGATTTCTACCGCCCCGTTCTTTTCTTACAACCCATAATCTACTCTTCAGCCAAACTGAGGTCAAGGCTCACTTCCACTAAGATGTCTTCCATGACTAACTTCACCCATAATGTCACATCCCTGATTATAATTCTCCTACCAACCATCCTCTTCCCCAGTATAGGTAAGAGTTCCTCAAAAATAGAGATTCAGTTGTTTTCTTTGTTTCTTGTCAACCACTAATATAATACTTTGCATGAACATGAGGTACTGACCTGTGACCTAAAACTCTGTAGGAGTTGGTTCCTTCATCTCTAAGTGAACTATAAAAACCCATGCTCTATCTTTATATAACCTGTATGAGCATAATCATAATAAGAGTAATTATAATTAATGAGCTCCTATTTGAGGAAGCTCTCTGAGATTGTATATATTAGCCTTATGAGGTATTATTATGTGAGGAAACTAAATAAGGGCTAAAACCAAGATCCACTATCTTCAAGTCTCATACGCTTAACTAGTAGGATGCCAAGTAATACAGAAGAAAATACTTAATGATGTTTTTATTGTTAGTTGAGATACTGGCAAATATCTCAT